TGGGGGAAGCCGGCAGCGGGGGCAGCGCTTCCCTGAGGCTTTGGCCAGCTGCCCAGCGGGACAGCCCAGACGCCCCGCGGCTGTCCCGCTGCCGGCGTCCTCAGAGGCTTTGCTCCCCGTCTCCCTGGTCTGCTGGTCTCCAATTTTCCTGAGAAACAACAATTGGAAAATGAGTCTGAATTATAATCCCACAATTTAACAATTAAATTAGAATTATATTTTATCTCTTCAGCAGATACTCTGTTCAGCAGATATGCTGTTGATGCACACATGTAACCTTGTTTATTATAATGGGAGTTAGAAGAGACTTTATCCTGTTCTTTCTCATGCTCTCTCTGATACATACTTTGTTGTACCAAATATTTACTAGCTGGGTTCCAAAGCGATCTGTGACTAGTTTCTCTATTTCTCTACACACACAAATAAGCTAAGATAAAGTTAACTTTAATATCCCTCATGAATCTTAATTCCAGACAGAAGGTGATTGTTTACTGCTGTTTGGGAGTTTGGAAGGAAAACCACCTGAGAGTTTTCTCTAGGTGATGTGATACACAAATAGAGTTTCACTATTATTTACCTATTAATATTGCAAAGATTAGAGCTTTTATACATCAGAGATTTTCTCACTGAAACAAACATGCCTTTCTTACCTGTAGCTTGATAGGTCACTGCCTTTTATGTTGAACATAGAGAAAAAGATTTCTTATTCTTTTCTTTTTTCTTAGGCTATGTCTACAATACATCTTATGCCAACATACCTTGTGTCACACACAGATGAGAATAAACCACGCCCACGAGCAGTATAAGTTATACTACCATAAGCACCCATGTGCACAGTGCTATATTAGTAGGAGACCTTCTCCTGCTGACATAGCGTCTACTAATCATGGAGGTGGTTTTATTATGCCCATGGGAGAACTCTTTCCTATTGGCATAGAGCAGGGCTGGCCAATATGTGGCTCTGGAGCCACCTGTGGCTCTTCTGAAGTTAATATGCGGCTCCTTGCTCAGGCACTGACTCTGGGACTGCAGCTATAGGTGCCAACTTTCCAGCGCTCAACTCCTGGCTCTACCTTCTCCTCCAAGCGTATTGCGCCCTTGCTCCTTCCTTCCACCACAGAGCCTCCTGAGTGCCATGACACAGCCGATTGCAGTGGGCAGGAGGTACTGATCAGTGGGGCTGCTGGTGGGCAAAAGATAGATACTGGAGACAGGAGAGGAGGCTACAAATCAGATGGGGACTGCTCACAAATTACTGTCACTCTCTGGCAATGCACATTGGTAAACTGTGGCTCCTGGTCAGGCTCAGGTTGGCCACACCTGACACAAAGCATCTTCGTTATACGTGCTGCAGTGGTGCAGCTGCATCAGTACAGCTGCACCTCAGTACACGTAGACATGGTCTTAAATTGCTCCCCTTCACTGGTTCCCATTTTTCTGACATTCTTTTATCAAGAGAGGAAACATAAATTCAAGAATACTCCCTCTAACAGACGACTGCAGACTGTTAGAGAATTAAGTAGAGTTCACCATTAGTTGCTTAAGTATTCTTAAATTATGAACTATTAAACAGCCTGGTTGCACATAACAGCTTTGTGTTTGGCTCAACTGACTCAGAGTTTCATATCCAGTAAATTTTCAATAATTCAGCAAAATGCATTCCATTGCCACTATAATCTCATTAGATCTATGCGATAAATTAGAAGAACTGCTTTTCTTTTTACTGGAAATTATAGACTGTTAATAGATTGTTTCCACTTCAGGAGTACAAAGGGTACATTTTTCTCCTAATTCTTTGTGATCAGTCCCCATCTGATTTGTATCTCCAAATAAATACTTGAAAAATAAAAGCAGTGTTAAGATCTGGTGGTAGATATTTGGTTTTTAAAGTACAACAAAAATATTAAAACAGCTAAATCACAGCATACAGGCAGTCCCCGGGTTACGTACAAGATAGGAACTATAGGTTTGTTCTTAAGTTGAATTTGTATGTAAGTCGGAACTGGCTCCAGATTCAGCCGCTGCTGCTGAAACTGACCAGGGGCTGACTACAGGAAGCTGGAGGCAGAATTGCTCTGCCCCCAGCTTCCTAGCAGGGGGGCCCCTGCCAGTTGGTCCCGTAGCGCCGCTCTGGGCGCTACTGGACCACCCGGGCAGCACCCCAGCTGCTCTACCCCAGGGTCCACAACAAAAGCCTGGTCTGCTGGGGGCGCCCCCTTTGGGCGCCCCCCCCACCCCCTAGCATACCAGGGACACGGGGAGCAAAGCCGCAGCAGACGGTCCTCAGCAGACCAGGGGCACCGGGAGCAAAGCGGCGGCGGCGGGGTGCCGCGCCTCTGAGGCTTTGCAAAGCCTCCGCCTCCCCGGCTTTGCTCCAGGTGTCCCTGGTCTGCTGGAGACGGTCCCCAGCAGACCAGGGGCACCCGGAGCAGTTTTTCTCACCCCGGAGGTCAAGGTGGCGGGACCGCTGCGCTCTGGGCGGTCCCGCCGCCTGCGAGCTCCGGGGCGAGAAAGCCCAGTTCGTAAGTGCAGATCCGACGTAAGTCGGATCCGCGTAACTCGAGGACTGTCTGTATTTGTTGGATCTCATTAAATATAATTTGAAGTAACTGGATGGAAAATTGCAATAAAAATATTGCAATTGGAAAGTTTAAGAGCTCTGCCAAAATCTACAGTGTCTGATTTAAAGACCAAAGCAAGGAAAGATGTCTGACAAGACAGATGTCAAATTATTTGACTAAGTATCATAAAAATCACCCCTCGTTTCATCAGAACTATATCTTGAAAAAATGTGTTTTCCTATCACAAATATCTGTTTAGTGGTTGATAGAGTTAGTCATACATGTGAGGGGGTATACCTACCCTGCATCAGCCCCACAAGGATTAACTGTGCTTTGCAGGCTGAGGAAAGCCCGGCCCTCTAACTCTGCTGCATGTGCTCAGCTGGGAGGCAGAGCATAAAAGGAAGCAGCCCACCTCAGTCTGCGCAGGCTACTAAAGAGAGAGGATGCAGATTCTCTTCAGGGAATCATTGCAGGCTGCAATTACACTCATGGCACATACAGCTCCAGGCAAACTCCTGGCTGCCTGACAACCTTGAGAAGAAACTGCACTGGCAGGATCTACATTGCTTGAGGACCCCAGAGACTCAGGGGAATCGTGGAGCATCGCCAAAGGAGAAAAGGTAGGAAGCAGGCTGGGGACTTACCCTTTGCTCCACTGAGTACAACGGGAAACCAGATTTGGGAGGATCCCCGCTGACTTGGGGATGAGCACTCCCATCACGGTCAGGGCCCTGCGCTGGAACTTCGAGGAGCAGGGAGGTTCCTGCTCTCTGCTGTGGGCACATATCCCTGGCTGGCATCCCACTTCCCCAACCAGCTAGTAGGCTACACAGTACCCCAAAATTGGGTGCATTTATTAACTCTGGCCTTTAGGCTATGCTATCCTGAATAAAAGGGCTGCTCTATTTACTCTGGCTTTTAGACTGTGCTGCCCTGAGTAGAAGGGTTGTGCTATTCTGCCCTGAGGATGGCAATGCTATTGCCTTTGGCTATTTGATTATGATGCCCTGAAAAGAAAAGACAAGCTACTGATTTGGGCTATTGGGTCACAATTTCATAAGTAGAAGGACAGCACTATTGACTCCGGCTACTAGGCCATATTACCCTGGTTTATAATCAGGGTCATAATGTAGGACCTAACAAACAGCTCTCCAGCCTTTCACCTTCTTCTCTAAATATATATCACAGAACTACCCCATGACAACACAATACACATGGATGCAGACATACATTAAGGTTCATGAGAGTTGTGAGGCTAAATTTTTATGATTATATTAAAAATTACTCCTCAGATGACAAGCTGTTTTCCTTTGGTCTTTATTCTGAACATAAAGGTAATTTTTGTTAAATTATACAAGAGCTCCAATGTCAGCAGCCTACCAACTTTTAGCTCATGAGCAGCCATTTAACCATGATGTCTTGAATATTGTTTTTACATCAACAGAAAATATATACAAAAAGAGTTAGAACGTCAGTAAAGAAATAATGGCTTTAGTACAAATCAGTATCATAAATAGGATGTTTGTGTTAAATCTGTTTGATTTATTGAAAATGGCAGGTTCGGTATCAGTATTTAAGCAATATGTAAATGCTAGTTGGACATAATTTGATATAACCAGGTTAAAATACTTACTTCAATTTCAAATACATTTAAGACCTTAGTACTTGACTTCTTGTCATAAATATTAAGTTCCTCTATTTTTTTTGGCTGAACTAAATTGGCAGTTAAGAAATTGTATATCAAACTCTGATAGTTCCTTCTGCTCTGCAAAGCAACTAAAATAGCATTGTGGATGTCTATGTTTGATGTGAGATGTGTATGTCAACTCTGTTTACTTCATAGTACTCTAAAGCCCACTTTGTTGTCTCAGTTAACTTTTAAAAATATTTTATTCCAATAGTTACTTGTAAGTCTTTCCATTTCTCTTAGAAATCCTATTATAGCCTTGATTAGCCAGCTAAGAGGAGCTGGAAGTTTTAAAACTATTATTAGTAGTGTTGCAATAAATACTTCAGTCTTCAGCTTCACTTTATTCAGCCCAGATGAGTTACAGGAACTCACTCTTGGACTCAAGCCATTCCAAGGGTGGAAAGGAACTGTAAACTTTGTAGTTACAGCCTCTAGGAAGTGCACTAATGAAAAATAAAATCTTAGACAAAAAGCATAAGTTTAAGTCTATAAAAGTATAGCTGTTTTCTAAATATTTCATGCACTCTGTATATTATAACTTGTTATTCAGTTGAATTCCTTCCATTAATAAAGCTATATCTATAGTTTGAGGGCTCAGAGACTTACGCTTAGGTGGTCTTGCTAGAAGTCGTTTTTGCTGTCTGGCTTTTCCCTGGCTTTTTGGAAACATATAGTCAACTATACCCAAATTATCTTCAAAGTTTAATTTTCCAGGACATTTTACATATGC